TCTCCACCAGCTCGTCGATCCGGTGTCGCAAGTCCACTCGAGTCCATGCTGTTGGTGGCTCTTCGCCATACGTGCGAAGGACCAAGATCATGTCCGACTTCGTCATGGAACTGAGGCCGGCCATGTTGGGGCAAGTCACGAGCCAGTACCGGAGGTCCAACTTGTAAGCCAGGATTGCTGCCACGTACACAAGATGCCAATTCTCCTTTACAAGCTCGAAGGTGTTCGGCTGCTCTCACGGGCTGTCGACTGCACTCAAGAGCATTCCCTTGCACATCGGAATTACCATACACCTTACTACTAACAACCAAACCTTGAGGTTCATCCGCAAAGTGTCGTTGGGGGTTATTCTGTACAGTTCTCCCTGACATCACTTCCGGTACCTCCCTTTTCTCGTCAGGGCTGAGAATCGGGAGGAGCTGTCCCTAACGTGGGTCCACATATGCAGACAAGCCTGGAACAGCTACTGTTGTCACATGAGCACAGCGCAGCCAATCTTCTGTCATGGGCAGGAGTTGGTGCCCGGTACGGCTGCGGCTGAGCTTTATGATTCGGCGGGAATCGAGATTCCTAAAAACAAGAAGGTCAGACTGAAAGTCTATCAGCGCTCCCAGCCTCCGGAGTGTGTCGATACTTAGTAAGATGGGACTTTGTCCCCGGTCTAAAGTGTGCACACTGATCTCTCCTGGGGCTCCGTTTGCGCTCACTCCCAGCCTCAGACAGGAGCTCCAGTTGCCGTGGCCATGGACTCGGTCTCATAGTGCGGTGCCACCCGTTTCAAAGCCTGGCTGGCCCGGAAGTAGGCCTCAAACTTGCGAGTCACATACTCGTTCATTGACTCCTGGCTCTTCCGCTTGCAGCCTTTGAAGTAGGTGGCCAGCAGGTCTGTTACCTCGTTCACTCGAGGTTTCCCCAGGGCCTTCCGCAGGTGGTCCATGAGGATCGTGACTCCGCCTCGGAAGGCCACCCAGCCGGCGTCTCTTCCGGCCACCAACCGCTTCGCAGCCCCGGTTAGCTCCTGGACTAACCGTGTCCCCGCGGTGTATCTCTTCTCCCAGGTGAGAGATTGCTCCCATAACAGCGCTGCCTCCTCGTAAGCCACGAAGGAGTCCATCTTTCGTTCGGGTGCCTGCAGTGCTGCTCGTGGAGCTGTCACCAGTATTCCCACTCATCACTCTTTGACGGCCGTCTCCCCAGGCAGTCAAAGCCACGAAGAAAGAAAAAGCTGTTGCCCTGGACAAAGTTCTGAGCCTCAGCGAGGCTCCGCTACCATGAAAGTGGGGTAGCTGGCAACGATCGTGCCCAAGAAGTAGGTGAGGATCCAGGCACGGTGGCGCAGGAAGTCGTGTAATGGCTCTGCTACTGCGGAGCTACAAGTAGACAACCCTGCGGGCCCGGCCTTCTTTTTGGTCCAACACAGGCTGCGCGCGAGCTCCTGCGTTCAGCGAGCGAGGGCTACAAGAGATTTCTTGCAGGGGTTATTAAAGGGATCGTAGGAGTTTAGACGATAGCTCACATAATCCAATTCAGGGTGCGAGGTTCAGGGGCAAATCACCCTAAACCCTAAACCCTAAACCCTAAACCGGGCTTAGGGTGTCCCTTCACCACCAGGCGGCGAGGACTCCACCATGCAGCTGCAGCTACACGATCTACAAGCTGCCCTGGCGGAGCGAAGAGAGGCTAACGGTTCGAAAGTTTAGGGCTTAGGGTTTAGGGCTTATAGGGAATTGTAGGGTTTAGTGTCGAGGGCTTCTAGGGCATTATAGGCTTCAGGGTTTAGGGCTTATAGGATTCAGAGTTTGCAGTTTAGGGCTTATGGGCCGGTATAGGGTTTGTTTGGGTTGTAGGGGTTTGTGCATAAATGGCCCATGTGACGTATAGGGCTTATATGACTTGTAGTGTTTATAGTGCTTGGGTCCGGGGAATTTAGGGTTTTGGGGGTGTAGCGGCCGAGAGTATGATGATTTGGAGTTTGAAGAGTGCCGGAAGTCTTTGCTCGGATGTGTTTCGTCTTTTCTCACTTCTCGGGTGGCTCCTGAGAGTTTCCGGTGCTCAGTGTGTAAAGAACTTGCTGCATTCAGGGGGTTGCTCGCCTATAAGGCCCTATCCATAAAAATAAGGGTTTCCAGGATGCCCGTTAGTAGGATTTTTAGCGTTTAGGGTTTGGGTTTATATAAGTGGGTCCTTGAAAAAGATCCTCAAACCTTAGGGTAGAAGCCTCAACCGAAGCCCCTAAACCCTATAAACCCTAAATCCTAGACCCCAAACCCTGAGCCCTACACCCAGACCAACCCTAGGCATTGATCTTAGGAGGTTGTCAGCGTCAGATACTTCATGGGGCCCTGGGGTTACCAATACGTTAGGGAACCTACTTATGAAGGGTTACAAATATTAATAGCAATGATCATAACAATAGTAAGAAGTAGAAAAGTAATACTAACAATACTAGGGTTAGAAGCGGCTTTGTACCGTGCGCCATGCATGGACTGCGCTGATCAGATGCCATACTCTTTACAGGAAGAAATTGTTTGGCTACTAGGTTTTCGGGCTTTTGTTTAAGGGCAGCAGTTGGGGTTTAGACTTCTACATGGCATGGGGTCTGTGTACCCTAAACCCTAAAGCCCTATCGGTTCTGGGGATGACAATATCGATGCTCTGGTATTAGTAGTATGAGAAGTATTCGTAGTCTTACTAGTAAGTCTTTCTACTACTAGGAGTATTTCTAGCACTACTGGTACTCTCGTGCTTTAGCAATACAAGTATTAGTGGTGCAACCGTATGCTCTTGGAACACAAAAGGAACTATGATTTTGGCATGGATGCTTCAATAAACATATGCTCTTGCAACACGAACGGAATTATGATTTTGGCATGGATGCTCTACAACCGTATGCTCTTGGAACACGAACGCCATTATGATTTTGGCATGGATGCACTAATAACTGTATGCTCTTGGAACACAAGGTGGCCCCACATAATGGAACCCGAAAGCAGCACAGTGATCCATCCACCCAAGGCTGCGGCACACAAAATGAACTGCTTCAAAACGCGGCAACCCCCCCGACTGACCCAAAACTTACTAGCACAAGTAGTAAGAGTAATGTTCTAAGTGCTATGAGAAATATTCGTATCAATAGTACTACTGGTACTACCAGTAGCATTAGTATCAGTATTAGTATTAGTACAACTCCCAGTGCTGGTACTGGGAGCAGCAGCAGGAGGAGAAGCGGCAGCAGCAGCAGCAGCAGCAGCAGCAGCAGTAGTAGCAGTAGTAGTAGTAGTAGTAGCAGTAGTAGTAGTAGTAGTAGTAGCAGTAGCAGTAGCAGTAGTAGGCTAGTACAAGTACCGCCAGACTCCACCCTGACCAAAATTGTTCGGGTGTACCCTTCAAAGAAGGTCAACCCACATTTTTTTTTCCGGGTGGCCACCGAGCAAGAGTGGTTGCCGCAATACTCTAGGTAGGCAACCGTGCGAGGATCTCAGCAGGCTCCTCCGCCAGCTACAGCAGCGGCGAGATGCCAGGGAGGACACTTCGCAGAAGCCGCCGCCCGAGCTCGCATGGGCAAAGTTTTCCGGAAATGCTTTTGGGTTTTGGGCTCTACCTAGAGTCTAGACCTGCTACAAGGGGTACAGATACCAAAGTATTAGATGCAAAACCTCTGCGTCTGGGTACACATCCTAGAGCCCCCGAGTACCCTTTGCATTTAGAGTCCAACCATCCACAAACAGGATCCATGTAGACCCTATTCAAGAGCAGTTGGGGCTTCCTGGAAAACCCTAAACCCTAAACCATGGAACAGCTGGGTTTTTAAAGCATGGTGAGGCAGCTTCAACCAAAGAATCTCTAAACTTGCAGTCGCATGTCTGGGTTTAGGGATTAGGGATTAGGG